GGGGGGGGGGGGGGGGGGGTCGGGACTAAGAATACGAATGTTTCTTCTTACCTGAAGATCAGATCCTGGTCTAACTTGGATAATATTAAGATGTTAAAAGTACAATTGCAACGAGGAGTATCAGGATCTGATCCTGGTCCAAAGGTTGAGTATCTGTAGAATGTTGGAAGGGGTTATTCTCGGGTTCCTTTTCAGCATGGATCGTCAAATTATTATACTTGGAGACTTCTATAAGCAAGAGAATGGTTTACTGCCATAAACTTGCTGGACATTCTAGCTATTAATTCAGCTTGACTATGTAACAGCCCGAGCCCACCGCTAGCAGATATTGTCCTCTTTGGGCTTCCCCTCAAGCTTACAGTCCTTGAATTCTTATTTACTGTATCGTTTTTGGAAATATAATTATTTTTAGCAAATGGTGTTGGCTTTTAGTAGCGCATCTGCGATTTATCTAGAGGACGTATTTATCAGGCCTCTCGTGTCTTCTTTTACAGTGAGTTATTGCAGAGTGAATTTCTCAATGAATCGAAAGATGAACTAGAAGAACGTGAAACAGCAATTGAGCTTAGAAAAAGAATTGAAGAGCAGGATTTACTGCTAGAATTCCTTTTGCTTATGCAACAAAGAAAGCAGGAAGCTGCTCGTAAGCTGCAAGATACTATTTCATTTCTGTGCAGTGATATCGAACAAGTTATGAGGCACCAAACTAATTTCAAGAAAAAGATCGGGTCGCACCCAGATCTTTCGAAGGACAATTGTTTGTCATTAAATCTCCCTTCAATGACTCCTTCTGCCGGACTGGGATCGAGGAAACGATTTAGACCAGGAATTTTGGTCCATGATATAGAAGCATGCGGTGATAACGTTGATGACAGTGAGAAGTCAAGTTCAGACAATGAAAACGAACAAGGTGTACTTTTTAAGAGTTCTCGATTAATGAAGAACTTCAAGAAATTGGAGTTAGCGTATTTGTTGATGAGAGGTAGAGTAAACAAGCCATCAGGGAGGCAGTTTGTTAAACACTCGTCAATAAGTAGCGATGGTAGGGGGTCCGTAGTTTTGACTGAAAGAAGTTCGGTTAATAATTTGGCTTCAAAAGAGAGTTGCAATGATAATCGACAAGGCGGGTGGATAAGTCCGTTCCTGGAGGGTTTGTGCAAGTATCTATCCTTTAGCAAGTTGAAAGTCAAGGCAGACTTGAAGCAAGGAGATCTATTGAATTCCTCCAACTTAGTATGTTCTCTCAGTTTCGATCGAGATGGGGAATTTTTTGCCACAGCGGGTGTTAATAGGAAAATTAAAGTGTTTGGATATGACTCAATCGTGAACGAAGACCGTGATATTCATTACCCTGTTGTCGAAATGGCTAGCAGGTCGAAACTAAGCAGTGTTTGTTGGAATCGATACATCAAAAGTCAAATAGCTTCAAGTAATTTTGAAGGTGTAGTGCAGGTAACTGATGCCATAATTTTTATCCACCTTTGAGATTCTATTGCTTTGTGGTCATATTGTTGCGTGATGTGTTTAGGTATGGGATGTCACGAGAAGTCAAGTAGTCACTGAAATGGGAGAACACGAGAGGCGCGTATGGTCCATTGACTTTTCATCAGCGGATCCAACAATATTGGCTAGCGGAAGTGACGATGGTTCAGTTAAGCTCTGGAGTATCAATCAGGCAATTCTATTTTTGCACTTGGTGGATGTCAGCTTTGAAACTAAACGTACTACAGTTATCTGATTGCGTGCTAACGATATTTATCTGGATTGTTTGATAATTTGTTCCTTACTTGGGTTGCTACTGCAGGGTTCAAGTATCGGCACGATCAGAACGAAAGCCAATGTCTGCTGTGTACAATTTCCTGCGGATTCTGGTCGGTCCCTTGCATTTGGTTCAGCTGATCACAAAATTTATTACTACGACATGCGGAATATACGAGTTCCTTTGTGCACCTTCACTGGACATAACAAAACTGTGAGTTACGTCAAGTATATAGACTCGAGCACTCTTGTTTCTGCATCCACCGATAACACCTTGAAGCTCTGGGATTTGTCCATGTGCACATCCCGGGTTATTGATTCTCCAGTCCTGTCGTTCACTGGCCACATGAACATAAAGGTACCACGTCGAACAGTTTTACAGAACTTTTTCCTTCGTGTGAAAATTTTATTCGCGGATCATTGTTCACGTAATTTAATGTTGTCCCATTGCACATCAAGCTTCTTGTGAGACCCATTCCGTCTAGGTAGGTAGGTAGCCACCACGGATTGAACCCATTCCCTCTAAGTCATTTTTACATCCATGACTTTCATTCCCGGACAGTAATCGAGGTTACTTAAGATCGTTTGCCAGCTCTGTAAAATGTTTTATGGGTTACGAATGACGCTTTCGAGCATTATGACTGTGTTATGTATCTTTGGTACATTCTTATCGAGTGATTCTCTCCAATTGACTATTGCAGAATTTTGTGGGACTGTCAGTCTCTGATGGTTACATTGCTACTGGGTCAGAGACAAATGAGGTTAGTTTTTGCATTCATTTTTTGTTTATTACCATGGCTCTATTGATGATTGTTGGGTGGGGGCTAATTTAGGGGTTGATCGTAAGTAAGGAATAGATATCCATTGGTCCGAGGCCTTCTGGGGAAGCATCAAGCAAAACCATGAGAGATTACGCTCAAAGTGGACAATATCAAACTATTGTGGAGAGTCGTGGTTCCTAACATGATATCAGAGTCATGCCTTTAACTTAGCCATGTTAATAGAATGTTAATAGAATCCTCAAATGCCGAACAAAGAAGTTGTAAGTCTCGAAGGTGTAGTCAAAAGTGACTCAAGTGTCGAGCAAAGGGTGTACTTTGTTCGAGGACTCCAAAGAAGGAGTCAAACCTCGATTAAGGGGAGGGAGGCTGTTCGAGGGCTTCATAGGCCTCAGGGGAGGCTTTATAGTGTACTTTGTTCGAAGGGAGGATTGTTGGGAGGGAGTCCCACATTGTCTAATTTAGAGGTTGATCATGAGTTTATAAGTAAGGAATATCTCCAAAGCAAAGCCAGGAAAGCTTATGCTCAAAGTGGACAAGATCATACTATCGTGGAGAGTCGTAGTTCCTAACACACTCTTCCTTTTTTCATTCTTTTGAGAACGTGGTGACAACGGAATGCATATTATCACTGTATCTGATCTTCAATAGCTGTTTTTGATCAATATTTATCTCATTAGCTTTTGGAACATGTTTCTTCATTCCCTGGATTAGGTTTTTATCTACCACAAAGCCTTTCCAATGCCAGCATTGTCGTATAAGTTTCAAATGGATCCTCTTTCCAGTCACGAAATGGACGACTCCGCACAATTTATCTCTTCGGTTTGTTGGCGAGGCCAGTCGTCTTCGATAGTAGCTGCAAACTCAACTGGGCACATCAAAATTTTGGAAATGGTTTAGAGAGAGGCAATGTCTTTAATAAGGGTAACTATTTGCAGTAAATTTGAGGCAGAGCAATATGTTGAATACCCATGAAGCTTGTCCAGCAGCTATAGCTTTCTACAAAGGTTAGATCTTAATATTAAGCAACAATAATTTGGCATTATACCATAGTGGATGAGGGCTTTTGTTTGGAAGAGATTGGTCTTGTTCATGTCTGTTGATAGAAATTCAAAGGAATAAGAGAGAGAGAGAGGTGTGGATATATCCCTATTCTTGTATAAATTGAATGCAAAATCTTCAGAGTAATTCAGTATATGGTAGTCTTGCATAACTCTCTTTTACACAGAAAGGTGATTATAATCATTATCAAACATGTGTTGTTTCTCATTTAGAAGAACGAAGAACAAGAAACAGATCGAGAAACAAGAACGAAGAACGGCAACATGAATGTTATCGAACGATAACAACAACTATGATTAGAGAATCACAGTGACATGGGAACTTTTATCTTTGCACTATCAATATTTCTTCTAGCTAAGACTATTTACACTGACCTTCACCTACTTTAGCAGCCGAAGTTAGCTTTTTTACGAGGCGGGTAAGCCTCTTAGCTCCTGGCCCTGGCTTGATCTTAAACGGGTTTCCGACTTTCGAGCATTTAGGCTTACCAGAACACCACCCACCAGGGGTAAAACTCCCTTTGTCATCACGTCTCAGTAGCTCCTGATCAATCTCGTCCAGAACAGGGTTGTCTCGCTGAAACTTTCGAGCAAAGGCAGCACCGCTGGCTATCATTGTTTCGGTGTCGTTAATGGTGAGGGCATGAGGATGCTGTTGTGGTGGCACATCCCAAGAGATGTAATGCAAATCATGGTTAACTACAGTTTTGGCAAACTCAGGCTCGTTGCAGATCACAGTGTGAAAGTAGCCTTCTGGGGAGGAAACAAAGTTTGAGTAATACATGAGAAGTGTTCTAGGAAGGTTGTCCCAACCCCAGATGAGATACTCGACAAACGAACGAGATAGAACCATCCATGCCGATCCTGGTAAAAGAACAAGCTAAGAACTTCAACAAAAAGGGCTCATTTGATAATGAAATTCTGCAGATTAGAATGATTGATCTGTTTCTTATCACAAACCAGTGAACAACTTGAATGATGTGGGGAGAGGTCGTTGTGGGTTGACCCAAAAAACATCTGATTTGGTTGTTTTGTATAATCCAGGATCTATCATCAACGGCATTGCTCGCTTACTCCTGCAAGAGAGACATTCAAATATTGACTGATTTCATCATCACAGGGCGAGAAAGAGAGAAAAAGAGAAGAAAGTGCTCACGCTTTCCATCCCAACTTGCTTGTGTGTTCAATGAAGTTCAAATTTCTATCTAGAGGTGAGAAAGTGTGAAGAAGATCTGTAAGTAGCACCAAAATTTCTCCTCGTTAAATCACACCAAACCAAGAAAAGGAAACAAAATAGATATATTGGTGATTTTAGCGCTACCCAAGCTTCTATGTTCTAAACCCTCCGACCACGTTGGTGAGGATTGTTGGTGGGGAGTCCCACATCGGCTAATTAAGAGGATGATCATAGGTTTATAAGTAAGGAATACATCTCCGTTGGTATGAGGCTTTTTGGGAAAGTCTAAAGCAAAGTCATGAGAGCTTATGCTCAAAGTGGACAATATCATACCATTGTGGAGATCCGTGATTTCTCAAATGTCGAACAACTTGTTGAACAAAGAAGTTGTGAGCCTCGAAGGAATAGTAAAGAAGTGACTCAAGTGTCAAATAAAGGGTGTACTTTGTTCGAGGGCTCTAGAGAAAAGAGTCGAGCCTCAATGAAAGGAAGGTTGCTCGAGGACTCCATAGGCCTCAGGGAAGGCTCTATGGTATACTCTTGTTCACAGGGAGGATTGTTGGTGGGGAGTCCCACATCGGCTAATTGAGAGGATGATTATGAGTTTATAAGTAAGGAATACATTTCCATTGGTACGAGGCATTTTGGGAAAACCCAAAGCAAAACCACGAGAACCTATGTTCAAAGTGGACAATATCGTACCATTGTGGAGATCCTATCTATATGTTCAACTTGGTCTGGTTCACGGCTTGAACGAACTCTCACTCAAACAACGGTAGAGCGGCTTACAAGATCATAAGCACAGGTTTGTATGCTGCAAGAATTTCAAGTAAACGATGGAAATGGGACTGACCGTCTTGAGTGATGAGCGGGTAGTCTGAGGCACTGAGGTTAATAAACCAGTCCCAATCATTGCTCCTCTTAAGAAGAACAGCACAAGCATGGAGGGTATTAGCCACCATTGTTGGACCTCTGTAAGTAACCATATTTGCTTTGGTGATCATAAAAACATTCCCAATCTCAACAAAAATCGACTCATTTGCTACTCTTGAAGCAAGCTCCAACCTCTCCTCTAGAGGTGACTTCAAGTCCAAATGAACAACGTATTGATTCAATGGATGGTAAAGTGCTTTAAGAGTTCTCCATAGCTTCTCTAAGTCGCCTTTCGACCCTGAAATCAGGTAACCGAATCGTGGAATCATAGATGCAGGGTTCGTCGGTGGCGATCTTGCAACTTTCGTCTCGGCAAATAACGTTGGGTTAGTTTGGTTTGTGGGCAATGGAGATGGGAGCATTAAGAAGATTGAATTGAATGTATGGATAGAAGAGATTAGACCCATGTTGAAGGTAGTAGCAAGGAGGAATATGCATATTAGGGAGCTTATCACAAGAGGAAACAGCCATTTCTTCTCTAAGTTCATATGCCCCATTGCAGAATCTTTTCGTAAACTCTCATCTACTTGAGCTTTGGAAACTCCATTCAACAGCCTTCAATCAAACAAGAAAATGATCAAACGAACAGAAAATTGCTGAAAAACTACACAATGAACTCAACTTCGCCCAAAACTCAACACAATCCTATGGTTCTTCATCTGATGAACACAATCAACAAGACAGAGAAATGTTCGAAGATAATAAGGATGAACAACTCGTGGATTTCAAATCAATGAAACAGTATACTCTGTAACAAGCAGCAGATTCAATGAAGCATTCATATAACCGACCACTTACGGGAGAAACAGACCAAAACACCAATGATAATCCAAACAAATAACGACCCAGATAAGAAAATGGATTATGAAATCAACCCAGAAACCCAAATCTCAGAAAAGTCAAACTAATCGCAAAATCAGAGGCGCAAAAACGAAAACAGAGCAGGGCGCTGGTACGAAACAAATAAGAACAAACAAAAACCCTACAATACCCAGAAACAGGCGCATCTGTAAGACCAGAATAAGAGCAGCAATCCGATTGAAACCCGGAAGATGATGAAGAAAGAAGAGAAGCAGCGCAGAAGGCGACGTGGGTTTTGCTGTGCGCACGTCCAGAGGAGGAGGAGGAAGAATATTAAAAAGGGAATAAAAGATTGGTTGGGATTTTGGAGTGAGCAACAGAAAGGGTGAAAGTCAGAAGGGAAATAAAATAATGAGGAGAAAAAGGGGGGAATTGGGATTCGAGCCATTTCCGTTATGGTGCACTTTCTTTGGGATCTTGACCAAAACAATGGCTTCTTTCCCTAGTTGCTTAATCTCTAGTGATTAAAACTTAATTGCACTTTTTACTCTTTAAATAAGTATTCATTTGTTGTTAATTTGTGAATCTAGACACATGTCCACCTCGAGGTCACATCGAGATGATTAATCCATTTTGGAAGAGCTGGTCCATTGTGGAAAATTTCCTATCACTGCCTCTCGTGGGTGTGTGGACCGTGTCTTAGTCTCAATGTGGCTTATCATCCTCTCAGACCAATTATGGACAAATTTCCCTTTTGTTAGCCGTTTCCAGCTGTTGTTCCCCTCACAAGGGCAGGTTCTTACGTGTTACTCACCTGTTCGACCCTGGAAACACCACTTCCTGTCCGACTTGCATGTGTTAAGCATGTTGTCAACAATCCTGAAGTGATCTATTAAGAGAGGTCTAGGTTGAGGTGGGAGAAGTGAGATGACCCATTAAATAACCTATCGATAGTACGTGATTTCTCCCCTCACATACTTCAGTGCCTAAGCCAATATTGGATCGAAGTGATGTTTGACCAAACTATGGTAGTATAGAAATACCTTAAATGAGGGAGACGTCTTTGCATTTATCGGACCCTTTAAATGATAGTGTCTCGTGAGAAGCTTCCAAACGAAGAGAAAATCAATTTTTGTGTGTAACGGAAAAAGTTTCACATTAATTACAAGATTGACTCTGTCAAATATTTAAAAATTATTTTTAATAAATGAGTTTGCTTAATACATATATATTATTGTAACTTAATTAAAAAAACTGGATTAAATGTTTGAGTTAGGACCTTGTCTTCATGTAATTAATTAAAATCTATTATAATATATAATTTAATATTTGTATGGGTAAATCAATGATGAGGGGTAGTTTTGGCATTTTGAAAGTCAAATCTGGTGGTGGCTCTAAGCCTCTATTCAATCATCCAATCATTGGGCTGTCTGCAACCGTCTGATCAAAAATCAGGGGTGGAAAAAAGAAAGGAAACGGCCAATAAAAATGTACTTAGTGGGACCCACCAAAAAGAAATTATCCGGTGTCACGCGTGGCAATTCATGGGCCTGAGTTGGGCCGCCAACCGTGTACGGTGCAGCCCATTGGAAAATTCCGAATCAAATGAATAAATTGCATTTTATTTTTATTTTTATTTTCTTTTACTTTTTCCAATAAAAAAATTTAATAATTTTTTTTTTTTGTATTTAATACTCAAAAATATATTTTAAAATATAACTTTTAATTACTTCAAAAAAAAATTTCTTATTATCTTTTTAAAACACATCGCTATTTAAAATTATTAAAAGAGTTACACTTAACCATGTTTAAATTATTAATCTTCTCCTAATTATTTATATAAAAAATAATTTTTTTAAATTACATTTTAAACGTTTAAAAAGTCATTCTAATAATGTTTAAAATGTCAATAATTAATATATATATTTATATTTTTGAACTGTTCAAGCAATTGTGTACTGCAAATTAAAAAAAATCAAAATTCTAATTTTAGTAAAAAAAAAAAAACAAATTCCATTAAAAGAAAAAAAAAATCTAGCACGCAGGGAATTTATATTTTTCACCGGAAAAAAAATAAAAGAAAAAAGAAAAATCCAAATTAGGGCAATATGGTGGATGACTTGTCAATGTGTCCTTCCCCTAAGGGCAACGGAAATCCACGTGTTACCACGTGGAAAATTAGGTTGACTCATTGAGGGAGACAGAATCATGACGGAAATAGAAAACGTAAGGGTATTAAAGTCATTGCACATTTACAGTGACCCTTATCTTTAAAGACAAAAAACTGGTCAGTTATTATCTCGCAGTACATGCCACGCGCCTCTCTTCAACCTTGAAAAAGAAAAATTATCAATTTTCCACTTAATATTTATTAATCCAACTAATTATTTATAAAATTTTAATTTCCTATGTAATATATTAATATACAAATCATCATTTTAGTGATTAAATTTTAAAACGTTTGATTTTGTGTTTAATAAATATCTGACTATAACTATGTTTATAACGAGAATGGAAGATGCACGGAAGGTCCAAGGGTTTATGGTCTCAATTCAGTCGATCTAGAATGGATCGGTTAAACATTCTAGTAGGGAGTCTGGTCTTGACTCTGATGTGTGGTATTCATTCTCGGTTTGCTCGTCTAAGGCGTATTGTCCATAGCTGCATGTTCATCTCATATCAAACCCTTTTATTTGATTTCATGTTGTATTGCCTTCCATTGGGTTTTTTTTTGTTTATATGACTATTCGTCTAAAATATGTCTAGAATTGTCAGAATCGTCTTAAAATGTACTATAAGGGATGTGACTAGTCGTCGACTCCTCCTACCCATAATTTGTAGGACTATTCAGTGAAATCATGTATAGTCATGCCATACTTGAATCACATCAAAATGTACTATAGAGAGATGCGACCTATCGTCAATTTTTCATACTCGAGGTTTATGCTATTTTAAGTCATTGTGTTGTCTTTCTCGCATATAACCTATACAACTACTTTCAAAACCTCGTTTCAATCTTACTTTCAAACTCTCCTTCAAAAATCTCTCTGCCACCATTTTTTAAGAATTTCTCGAAATGGAGCCAGAGGTTTGAACATACGTTATGCGATCGTAGGTGACGCAAATTTAAATTGGCTTGACTCACTCGACATTTGGAGTAAGAGTCGCACAATCGCAAAATTCGCTGCTAAAAAATGTGCAATTGTGACTAATAGACACATATCCAGCGGCTCAATATATGAGCCTGAACCTATTTAATAATCATATTACACTCGGTATTCAAAAATTTAAAATTAATTAGACATTTTTAAAAATTATCGAACTAAATAGATATAAACCTAATTTTAAAAAATAAATATTTTCTTCTGCAAAGATATTAATAATATTTTGAAAATTTTAATTTAAAAAAATTATTTATCATGATCCTCTTTCAACACTATATATTTTTATATTTATATTCTCACAATTAATTTTTCCCATTATGTGTTAATCCACATATATTAAAATCCAAACATAAACCCTAGCAGCGACAATAATTCCCAAACGATCCAAAAAAATTTGGTGTTGAAAAAGAAAAAGGATTCATGAATCACCGGTGGATTCGTTGAAATGGGATGTGTATAATTTTAAACAAAGATCGAATTTTTTATTTTGTTTCATAATGGATTTGGAGAAGGAATATTTTTAGAAATGATTGAAAATAATTCACAAAAGACAATAGATTTGGGATTGGATTTTACTATTTCGTTCTAAATTTGTCTTGATTATACGAAGAACGGAAAGGAAAGTAGCATTAAATTAGAATTTTCGTAATGGGAAATGGAAAAAAAAGAGAGAAAAAATCCATGAAATCACAGCGAACAAACACCTAGCCTGAGCAAATTAATATATAGACGGACTAGTCGCTTCCGCGCTCTCTATCTCTCTCTCTCTCTCTCTCTCTCTTTTAATTCCCATCCATCCACTTTGAAGAGGGAGAAGTGGTTTGAGATTCAACAAAGGGGACGAGATCTGGGTCTGACCCATTTCTTTTTTGTTTGTTTTTCGTTCTGGGGTTTTGCCTAAATTCGGAATTCGAGATCGCTTCGTTCGATAAGGGCTTCCTGTTCTTGTTCTTCGTATTACCCGCTTCCATTACTGGTAATTGTTCTTGTTTTTCATCATTTATGTGAATTGGGAATTTCTGATTCTCGATTTTTTCACTCTTTGTTTTGCGATTTCATGTGATTATGTTCGATCTCTCGTCATCTGGTTGTTTTGCTCTGTTATTTCGTGCCATTTCCTTCTCGTTAATCCCCTTTTTTGGGTTATTGTTGAATCTAAGAACAATTTCCATGGGGTTTCTTGGATGATATTTCATTTTGATTCATTGAGTTTTGATCGTTGTTTGCGTGCCTGTTTTTTCTGTAATCGTTGAATCTAAGAACAATATCCATGGGGTTCTTTGGATGATATTTCATGTTGACTCATTGAGTTTATCTCCTTGTTTTGATCTTTGGGCTAATGAGTTCGTGCCTGTTTTTTCTGTAATCGTTGAATCTAAGAACAATTTCCATGGGGTTTTTTAGGATGATATTTCATTTTGATTCATTGAGTTCATCTCCTTGTTTTGATCGTTGTTTTGATATTGATTTTAGCATTATTAATTGAGAGATCTGTTCTTTTGATAGCTCAATTGTAGATTATGTTGTTTCTTTCCTTGTGGCATCAGGATCTTTTAGTTCCCTCAGCTGGGAGCTATGGGCGTTGAGGTTGTTGGATTTGAGATGGTCAAGGGACCGATGGATTCGGCACCGGTTGCAGATAATTACGTTTTGAAAAGCGATGAAAATGGAGATTTGGATCAATTGCCTGAGAAAAATGTGCCCATAAAGTTTGGTTCTCATGAAGAGGAGCCTGTTAAAGAACAGGCAGATGGTTCTTCTTCAGCCTCTAACGTCCCGAAAGATGCTGCTGATGAATGGCCAGCGCCTAAGCAAATCCATAGCTTCTACTTCATAAGGCATCGCCCGTATGACGATCCGAGTATCAAAGCTAAAATTGATTTGGCTGATAAAGAGATTCGTAAGAGGAGTCAAGCTCGGTTTCAAATCACTGAAACACTCAAGTCAAAGAGGGTAAGAAACTGGAGCTTGAAATGGATACTGCACTATACCTTTTCATGTTTTAAAGCATCATTTGATTAAAAAACACCTTCTTATATGCTTTCTATTAATAATTTGGATCAAGCTGGCCCCAACGCCCGAAATGTGTACAAAAAGGGGATCATCTTGAATGAAAGAATGAAATTGATGATAATAATTTGAAAGGGTTTGGAGTTATATCTCATTGGCCTTGCTCGAGGCACGTAAACTAGCTATAATGCATGAAAAAATGAAATGGATGCATTCTTTTTTTGAGTTGTGTAAGCTGTGTGCAATCTGTTGGCTACCT